CAAGAAGTAACAAGAATGCATAAAGGATGGTCACTTGATACTGTAACAATCGATAATATTGTTCTTCGTTCATATAAAGATGATATTCGAGAAGCACCAAATGAAGTAAAAAAATTTAATAATCTAAAATATCTGATTGTATTTTTCTTTTTAAGGGTGTTTATGTGTATGGTCTTTATTTGGAAGGTGCTGGTTGGAATCGAAAAAATACTCGTCTACATGAATCACAAAATAAAGTTGTTTATGTTCAAATGCCTGTTATTCATATATTTGCTATAAATCCATCTGTAACTAATCAAACAAATGGAATAATTACAAATAAAAAATTACGATTAAATCAAATATCACTTCGAACAAAACGAAATGATCAAATTTCAATTGCACCATATATTTATATGTGTCCACTCTATAAAAAACCAATACGTACTGATCTTCATTTTATAACTATGCTTAAATTAGCATCAAATGATATACCTGAACATTGGATATTACGTGGTGTTGCTTTACTTTGTGACATCAAATAAATATATCTGTTTAGGATTTTTTTTTCCTTACATAAGAAAAGCAAACATAGATCCGATTCTTGTGATATATAGCTGGTCTCAAAATCTGGTCACTTTTTGATAATCTGGTCCAGCCCAAAATAACACTATTAAAAGCATATTTCTTTTATAAAAAGATTTTTATAGGATGAAACTCCACAATCACCGGAATCATGTATTAGAACATTGTAAAAAGTTTATTAGCACAATGATCACGAGTTTAGATAAGGTCGGGCAAATGCGTGATAAATAGGTTAAATTATCTATTGAGCCATATGAGTAAGATTTATTTGTGAATACTACAATTGCTTGAAGAGTATCATTTATAAACAAAAAACTTTATCGAATAAAATGCCCGCTGATCAATTTCACAGACATAGATCATTTATCATTTTTAGCTACTATTAATTTTAATACACAGTTAATGCGTTTCTATTCCAGTAGCACTCATGTTCGAGGTCGAAACGGGGCGGATTTTTTATTCCCCGCTCCGCCCCGCCGAGAGCTTTCTCCACTCAACTCCGCCTCGTCCTGCTCTTTATTTTTTTTGCTTCCCCGACCCTGCCCCGACTTTCATCGACTCTTTCTTAATGCATATACGAATTTTGAATGTGAAACTGAAGAACAAGAAAGTTTTCCGGGAATCTACTTCACTCTACCCTGATCGGTTCCCGCTCCGCCCCGACCTAAATTTTTTTGTCTCCCCGCTCCCACCCCGCCGCGCTATTCCACGCAAATTCTCTCTCCGTCCAGCCAAAAATGCTCCCCACCCCGTTTCGGTCTCTGACTCATATCACTTGATGTAGTTGCAAATGCATTCGGCCGTGTGTGTGGATAAGACATGACATGGAACCGAATAAATGCTCTGCTTTTATTTTTTCGCTTTGTGAAAGTGCTAAAACGTTTGCATTATAAAGATCCCTGATTGTTATCATTTGCAAGGCGCATAATTCGTGAAGAAGGTTGGCTCCTAATCTTTTATGTAAATATATTTGATGATGCACTCCATCTGTTGTCACAAGTTCCTATTGCAAACAATATTCATTATTGTGTAACTTGGAATCATGAACACTTTCTATGACATTTTTCTTTGCTCAGCAAAAAAAACCAAAACAGAGAACAGAACAGGATGAGATGCGAAATACAGAAGAGAGAACTGCAGATCTGTAGAAACAACATCCTATTGTCATCATCTTCATTAAAGTGTCTCCTCGATCTCGATGGCATCTACTTGAGAAAATGTTGTAGAGCGACATACCTCGTTCAACACTTCCGATGAGATCACGTTGTTTTTGTTTTCTTTCTTTGTTTGAAGTGATTCAAATGAAACAGAAAGATATTTTTCACGTTGAATCGAGCAAAAAAAAGGTGCCATGCATATACCGACTAAATCAATCATTCACTATTTATTTTAGCTTCTTATTTGTTGCTTCAGCCGCTACGCTGTTAGCGACATCACAAAGTGTTTTATGTTCTTCAGCTTTCGCGGAAAAAACAAAAGAGTCATTTAATATTTCGGTACAATACTTTTTCACTTCTCACTTTTATTAGATACTGAACCTGTATTACAATTGTTCTTGATTTAGTTTCAACGATAAGTTCAAAATAATCAAATTCATTCATCTTAGAGTAGAATATAGGCATGTCCTAAGTTCGAGAGTCTCGAGTTTCTATTAGTTTTCTCATACTGCCACTATAGATCTGAATCACTAATAAAAATCCACCAAAAATCAAATCAAGACTCTAGTTGGTCTCGGTCGCGCATCATACCTAATCATGCAATCCACAATCTGTGGGTGTGTGAGTGCGGGTGTGGATGTGGGTGGGTGTGAGTGTGAAGAAGCTGTCATAGCCGCTTTCGTCCTTGCTTAAGGGACTCATTCAGATGGCTTATCTATTCTGAAGGGTGTCGGTGTGGGTGTGTATAGTTACCACAATACCAGGTATTTCGATTTTGCTGAAATCTTATCAAGTGAGTGTGGGTGTGAATCTTCTTTTTAACCTCTCATATCCACACCCTAGTTTTTTCCGAAAAATAGACCGTTGTTTTAATGCTATGTAAAAATCGAGTTTCTTGAAATTTTCTCATCCAGGAAAAGATTTCAAATATTAAGATATATGTATATATTCTGACTTAGCTTGACAAACTCTATCCAACCGTGTATGAGTTAACCTAGAAAAAAAACTTGCTACTTTTTTAAATTGCCAACATCTTACTTGTATTAAATTCTTGTCTCAGTAAAGAATAATATATGTTTTAGTAGATGACCTACTTTTTAATGCATCTGTGCTTTTCATCTTGCGTTCTGTCAGTTCTCTCATGAGTCTAAGTAATCAGTGTTCTGTCGTTAATAAAAGAAAAAGAATGGCACTGGATGGTAGTAACGACTAATGCACAAAATGAACAAACAAAATATACACACTTTTTAGGAAAAATCTCATGGTTTCTTGAAATTGAAGGGATCTCTCTATGATGTATCAATGATGTGTTCTTGTTCCGTCCACTGATTTGAAATATTTAGATGTGAAGAAGAGATGCATTTTCACTAAGTTAGCATTGGAACATTCTAATCGACGCCAATATAATGTATCATATAGTTTTGCATGCGATTCCTGGATTTAGTCTATGCTCTTTTACTATAATTAGTCCGCCTGGCAGTGATACACTACTGGAGGTTTGAGAATGCTCTAATAGACATCGAATCAAAAATGTTATCTAAGTTATAACTATATTGATACTTACCATTAACTAAAAGAGTAGGAAGAAAAAGACTTGATTGCATGTAAGAGTGTTCATCTCTGGTTGTTCTGTGCATCGCGAAGAGAATATTTTTGTCAATACAAGTACAAAAAGAAATTTGGGCACAGTACTACTGTCGTTACTGATTACAAAACAGAAAAAAAATACTCTGAACGGCATTGTTATTAGTCAGATAAAAGTTGTCTTGTGTTAACAGACATTTAATATTTTTAGTCTCATTAAAATTTCTCTATTGTGATTGTAATAAAGAAAATGAGTTTTTGGGTTCTCTGGATGCTCATTTTTCTTTAATGACATTTTCGTATGGGAGAATCTTTGCAAATGAAAAACCTGTTAACACAATCCTTGCAGAAAAAAAATGTAAAATACGATGGAGCCGCTGGTATTGTAAAAGAGGAGATTAACCAACATATATTTCGCCTTATGAATTCCTATCAACTGTTGACATATATTGATCATGAAAGATATTAATCGCAAAATATTGCAATGAGTATGGAAGAAAGGTAATGGGTAACTATGATACAGGAGTACAAATGTAATCTATCGTTTAGTTTTCTTTCTCTGCTCTCCCTATTTCTTTTCCTCTCTCTTAGCACTTCATTTTTCTTGCTTTTCCTTATCAATGTACTGTCTTTCTTCGTGATACTTTTCGGTATTTTTCTTATTGAGTTCCTTGATATTCCTATAAGGTTGAGCTAAAACTCATCGCAATTATATTAGTGGCATAAAAAGTGAACACTCTGCATTATTAATGCAGTTTCTGACTTACTACTTTCAATTTCTCTTTCTCTTGTATCTGCACTTCCGAGTGTTATATTCAGTAACAAAATTAAAAAATTGAAGTTGGCCTACAGAAAAGGAATATGTAAGCGTTATCGCATGAAGTAGCACGGAAAAAAATAGCATATATTGAGCTGCATCTTGCAAGTCTAGAAAACAAAAAAAGAATAATTCTTGATGAATAAAAGACTGTCCATGGTAACGAGAAAAAATATTGCAGACAAGGAAATTCTCTACCAACAGTAATTTTATTATTTCTTTTGACTGATTGCAAGACGTAGTTGGTAAGACACAGGATACAATAGGATGATATTGATTTTACTTCTTCTCTTCTTGAGCAAACAACTTCGCCAAGTATGATAATACAAGTCAGTAAATTTTCATTATGAGAAAGTTAAGCACAGGAAATAATCAGTTAGATGATGATGAGTACGAAGAATTATGAGCGTAAATATTAATATATGACAATTATTGAACAAAATAATTATCAAGAAATAGTTCAACAATGTATCAAAAAAGATTTGGAAAGTTATAAAGATATATTCTGAGCAATGAAATCGATCTGAAGCAAAAACTTCTGGGATCGTTATTAGTGGAAACGTGTAATATATATTATTCATGCCGATAGTTTTTCTTTTTTGCTGATTCTTCATCATCTCATGTAAAAATAAAAGACATTTAAGAACGTTTTCGCTGAAATTTGCATTAGATAGTGTTTTAACAGGGCTTCAACAGAAAAATATCGTTAAATATCGAGCGATCATTAAAACGCATTGACTCCTTAACGAAAAGAATCTGGTTATATATCGTTGAATATAGCATTTATTTTCACGAGTTAAATATTTTAAGATGTTTTAATGAATATTTCAATCATAACGAAAGTCATTTAATTGTTCGTCGTTAAATATTATAATAGTCATTTTGGCTGCTTCTCAGTCGCAAACATTAAGAAAATCACGATTTAGTATAATAAAATTGTTTTAAATTTTCGATTGATTATAAAGTTGACAATTTTATTAGTTTTCTGTAAAAAGATTAAATTCCATACTTAACTTTTAAAGATTTGATTGATGAGAGCACATATAGAAATTAAATTGCTTTAGAAAAAGCTTAATAAAAAAAAGTTATTTTATTTTAAGAAAAGTTACTGAAATTTGTAGAGGACACAAGTTTTTTATCAATAAAGATTTTTCATCTCATAGCATGACTAACGATGTATAGAGAACCTGAACTTTTAACTAGGAGTGAGAAGTTATTGTTATTCGGTTGTTATTAATGACAATAACTTTTTTTGTTATTTGTTATAAATAACAAAAAAATAACAAATAACATTTTTCTGAAGAACCTCCAACTAGGGGTGGAAAGTTATCGTTACGCTACCAGTTACCCGAGAATAGGGGTAACAGTCAGGTAAGTGTCTCCCGTCATCAATCTCGTAGCC